AGGGGCCCCCCAGGGGGCCCCCCGGGGGCCCCCATGGGGGGGCAGGGACCGGGGGGGCCCCCCGGGGGGCCCCCCGCGCCAACAGGCATCGCTTGAGGGCCCCCTGCTGGCCCTCCGAATGTAGTAGTGGGGGGGAGGGGGGCCCCCCGGGGGCCCCCTGGGGGGCCCCCTGGGGGGCCCCCAAGAGCTGAGTAGCTGCTGCTGTTGGTTGGAGGGTTTGCTGCTGCTTGCAGGGGCCCATATCCTGTAGGGGATGGGGAAGCAGCAGGACGCAGCATGTTGCTGCTGTTGCTGCTGCCTGCTGCAGCAGCAGCTGCTGCTGCTGCTGCAGCAGGAGCAGCAGCAGCACCTGGACGTATGAAAGGAGAGACAGAGGAAGACATGGGGGGCCCCTCTGAGCCAGCAGCAGAACTAGGAGGAAATGCGTTCCGCTGCTGCTGTTGCTGCTGCAGTTGCTGCTGCTGCTGCTGCTGAAACAGCTGCTGCTGCTGTGTACCTGCAGAGGCAGCAGCACAAAAAAATAAAAAAATAAAAAATAAAAACAGCAGTTTATTCTTTCTTTTATTTTATATTATAATAATAATATACTAATATCTTACCTATAGAGGGGGCCCCCGGGGGGCCCCCCATCTTCTGTCCTGGGGGGCCCCCCTGCATAGCAGCAGATGCGCTGGGGGGTAGGGGGGGCCCTGCTGCTGATAGCTGACGAGGAGGTTGAACAGCAGCAAACTGCTGCTGCTGCTGCTGCTGTTGCTGCTGCTGCTGCTGCTGAGGAGGGAAAGGAGGGGCGAATCGCTGCTGCTGCTGCTGCTGCTGCTGCTGCAGCGGCTGTTGGCCTGGCATCATGGGTCTTCCTGGCTGCCTCAACAGCTGCTGCTGCTGCTGCTGCTGCTGCCGCTGCTGCTGCTGCTGCTGCTGCTTCTGCTGCTGCTGCTGCTGCAGGGCCCCGCTCAGACCCCCTGTCTTCGTTGGCATCGGGGGGGGGCTGAAGCCCAGCTGCTGCATGGTGGTGGGGTTGTTGTAGTAGAGTTTCATCGCCAGCTCAACAGCAGCAGCATGCAGCGAGGCCTCCAGCTGCTGCTGCTGCTGCTGCTGCTGCTGCTCTCCTCTTTCTGCTGTTGCTCCGCCGCTGCTGCTGCTGCTGCTGCTGCTGCTGCTGCTGCCGACGTCCAGGTACAGACGCAGCACCAGCATCGCGCATGCAGCACAAGACAGATTGCTCGCCTCATCTGCGTATGCACTGCAGCAGCAGCAGCAGCAGCAGCAGCAGCAACAGCAACAGCAACAAAAACCAAACAATAAGAGCAGCAGCAGAGGCAGATGTAGCAGCAGCAGCAGCAGCAGCAACAGGAGCAGCAGTTGCAGCAGCCAACAGCACCACCAACAGCAACAGCACCACCACCAACACCACCGCGACCAACAGCAACACCAACAGCAACAGCAGCAGCACCAACAGCAACAGCAGCAGCGGCACCAACAGCAGCAACACCAGCAGCAGCAGCAGCAGCAGCAGCAGCAGCAGCAGCAGCAGCAGCAATGCTTACAGTGCTACTCTTTCGAATGCTGTGCATCTTCCTTGAAAGTTTGCTGCTGCTCTGAACACTATCATCTTTTGTATTGTTGTCAGCAGCAGCTGAGTAAAAAAACCACTGCTGCTGCTGCTGCTGCTGCTGCTGCTGCTGCTGCGGCTGCGGTGTGCTGCGGTTGTCTGCTGCAGCTGCTGCAGCCAGATGCTGCATGCAGCAGCAAAGTCTCGTGCTGCTATAAAACAAAACAGGGCCCCCTTCAGGTCCCCCCCCCTAGACAGCCGCTCCCCCAGCTGCCCTGCAGCAGCAGCAGCAGCAGAAGCAGCAGCAGCAGCAGCAGCAGCAGCAGCAGCAGCAGTAGCAGCAGCAGCAGCAGCAGCGGCAGCAGCAGGAACNCAGCAGCAGCAGCAGCAGCAGCAGCAGTAGCAGCAGCAGCAGCAGCAGCGGCAGCAGCAGGAACGCAACGCAGGGTATTAGATAGATACGGATGAGAATTGGCTTTGGGGTTTCTGGTGAGGGTTTAGAGTGTTTGTTGTGAGGGTTTATAATTAGGGTTTAGGGTTTAGTGGTTAGGGTTTAGGGTTTATGATTAGGGTTTAGGGTTTATAGCTAGGGTTTAGGGTTTATATTAGGGTTTAGGGTGTACATAAGGGTTTAGGGTTTAGGGTTTAGATTAGGGTGTATATTAGAGTCTAGGGTTTATATTAGGGTTTAGGGTGTGTATAAGGGTTTAGGGTTTAGGGTCTATATAAGGGTTTAGGGTTTAGGGTTAAGGTTTAGGGTGTATACAAGTGTTTAGGGTGTATATAAGGTTCTATGGTTTCGGGTGTAAATTAGGGTTTAGGGTTTAGGGTTTCGATAAGGGTTTAGGGTTTGGATTAGGGTTTAGGGTTTATATTAGGGTTTAGGGTTTAGGGTTTAGGGTTTATATACTGGTGAGAGAAAAATATTTATGTTGCGTGCATGCATAGCTGCTGAGGAGGCGCAGCCCCTCCCGCCAGCAGCTGAGCGGCAGCTCCGCCACCAAAGCATCCAGCCTGTCTAGCACAACAAACCCAAACAGCTGCAGCAGCAGCAGCAGCAGCAGCAGCAGCAGCAGCAGCAGCAGCAGCAGCAGCAGAAGCAGCAGCAGGAGNGCAGCAGCAGCAGCAGCAGCAGCAGCAGCAGCAGCAGCAGCAGCAGCAGCAGCAGAAGCAGCAGCAGGAGAAGCAGCAGGGGAAGTGGTAGGGAGAAGCAGCAGAAGACACACACACACAAACATACACACAAGAATAAACTGCTGCTGTTGCTGCTGCTGCTGTTGCTGCTGCTGCTGCTGCTGTTGCTGCTGCTGCTGCTGCTGCTGCTGCTGCTGCTGCTGCATGCGTACCTTAAAGAACTGATCCTTCATGTTGTGTACATACACCTCAGCTGCTGCTTTCCATATAGCGGGTCCCTGTCCTTCTGCTGCTTCTGATAGACAGCTACCGCTGGTTTGCTGCTGCTGCTGCTGCTGCTGCTGCTGTTGCTGCTGCTGCTGTGAACCCGGTGCTGCTGCTGCTGCTGCTGCTGCTGCTGCACCCGCCAGCAGCAACGCGTCACCCAGGCTCCCTGTCTCCTTCAGCAGCTCAACAGCCCCCTCCACGCAGCCCCCCAGCAGACATTCTCGCAGCAGCGGGTACGGAGCAGCAGCTGCAGCAGCAGCAGCAGCAGCAGCAGCAGCAACAGCAGCAGCAAACGAAAGGATAGACACACAGACGATGATGATGCTGCTGTTGCTGCTGCTGCGTTCAATTGTGCAGCAACAACAAAAACAACAGAAGCAGCAGCAGCAGCGGCAGCAACAGCAGCAAGCAGCAGAAGAAACAACAACAGCAGCAGCAGCAGCAGCAGCAGCAGCAGCAGCAGCAGCAGCGCCTCACTCCAGTCAATATCACCGAGCTGCGAGGACCCCTTCTTGCTTCTGAGAGCCTCCTTTGCTGCCTGCTGCTGCTGCTGCTGCTGCTCCTGCTGCTGCTGCTGCACAGCCTCCGCCCAAGCAGCCTTCTCCCCCTCTTCATCCTGCTGCTGCTGCTGCTGCTGCTGCTGTTCCTGTTGCTGCTGCTGCTGCTCCTTTGATGCCTGTCTTTGTTCCGCCCCCCCAAGCTGTGAAAAAAACTCTGTATCGCAGCAGCAGCAGCAGCAGCAACAGCAGCAGCAGCAGCAGCAACAGCAGCAGCAACAGCAACCCAATGAGTTACCACCATCCAGTAAGAGTAAGTTGCCTGGGAAGATAGCTAGCTAGCGGTCTATCAACCTAGCTAGCTAGCTAGCTAGCTAGCTAG